TATTTGGGCTTGGGCATAACTTCCACCAGTATTGCCTCATATCACAAACTGATGTTGTCAGAGTTGTTGATCCACACTAGTGACTCACCAATGACTTTTGTTCACCCTTGTTCTGAAACATCTGTAGTTTACATGACTGAACTTAGAATAGGTGAACAGGGAAATATCTTTAAAGAACATTTAATTTGTCCAAGACAAATTATATGTCAAATGACTGCCCTGTCGTCCAGTATTTGTGTTTGACTTGTGCTCCACAGATCAAACACTCAGGTTTTTTGAATGTTTGATATTTTTCATGAGTCATCGTCGGTGAGAAAGTACAGAATGTTATCTTTTTGTCTACACCTCTTCCTCTTTTCAGTCTTCAGTATTTGGACAGAAACCAGCCAGTAGATGATTCAGGTTTCTAGGCTTGGATGTGAAAACACTAGTGAGTGACATTTTACTGACATTTTACTGCAGCCACACTAGCACCATTGCAAGGCTGTAACACTCATCAGACGTGGCATGCACAAGTTGCACAAAATGGAAGTTTTTCTGATTGTCCAACAAGGCTGCCGAAGAAATGTGTGCACAGAAGAAACGTGTACTGAAGGAAATTCTTTATTTGCAGTGCAATTACATTCAAATAACATTTTTCATGTGTTGCATAGTCCTTGCATATTTGGTTTACAATCTTAAGAGACAAAACACCGTGCACTGCAGTAAGTGCCGCTACTGCAACATGCTGAGTGAAGTGAAGCTCTTCAGAACTGAACTTCACCTGAAAGCTTGCTCGAGATGAAAGTACTGATTCATTTCAAACCAGGATCAGGGTTACAGAGACTTGTAACATGCTACATGTTTAACTTAAAATACCATAAAGTTAGAGAAACTCTACCTATAGACCATTAGACATCTTTGGGATGACCCACCCAACGCAAACCAGGTCTCAGGCCTACCTCTTCACTGGATTTGGTTTAGCTTAAAATGCTCCAGGTCTCTGACCAATGATACACTTGGACTGGACCCCAGGACACTCTGTTAGCAACAAATTATAAGTCAGTTTCACAAGAGGCCTTTTTTTTAAAAGTGACTAAGCTCTTCATGTGCAGTAAAATAGAAACACAATGCTGCTGTTCATTTACTTTAAAGATATGTTCATACTGAACATATAGTGTATTTTCTGAGAGATGCAATTATGAAAAGACATGAGTGGAAATGTAGTTGCTCAAGGCACAAAGTGTGCTGAGTTGAAGAGGCTAGTTGAAAATATTTCAACTGGAGTGGGAAAAACTGCAACTACATGCCATTTGCCTTTGCCCTCCAAAACTACCGATATGACCTTTTTCTGGTTTACAGCCTTATTTGGAGGACAGAATTGTTTGTCACTGTCTTCCAAAATTATTACAGGTAATTCATGTGAGTGTTTTCTGCTCTGCCACTTCTATGGTTCAGGTCACTATAACTGCTTGATTAAGGTGAGGAAAAGATTGCGGTCATGGTTATTGGTCCTCCAAAACATAGGTCCAGAGGGATTATGCCATTGATGGGGGGAGGAAGTTAATAGAGTGTCCTAGCAATGTAGACAGGAATACAAACTACTAGACGAATGAAAGTTTAAAAATCTACAGATTTATGAAAACTGAGTAAACTTCATCTGATAATGAGGGTTGAAAGCTCCTAAATAAACAAGGAACATGGACTTCAAGTGGAGAACTTTAGCATCCTAGATAGCTGTTCTCTGGGGGTTAATGGTCCAGGTAAAAAAAAAATCTAGACAGAAAAAGAGAATGGGCATCAACAAACTGGTAAGAACAGTTTTTCTAACCTCAGATCGGTTCAGGTTTGGGTCCATGTCAAGTTTAAAAAGACCATCTTGGGTTTTTCCATGTCAAGTACAAACGATTTGACTCAAATTCCCTTTAACCTACATTCAGTTTTTAGTCCAAACTTTGGAAAGCAGTAGGCACTGAAGAACCAATGGACCAGAGAGAACCACTGAGTCATGTATTCAGATTTAGTATGTGCCATCTTTTATATCTTGTTCAGTGTATCATCATACCTACAGTAATGTTCATCAGTGACATAACTGCTTCCACAAGATGAGATATCACACATTTGATTTGATTCCTCTAAACTGAGATATAGTAACATCATCGTCTACATACAGTAATCATTGAAAAACAAACCTGATCCTCTATTCTTATACTTACATCCATATAGAAAAGACAGAGATACATAATATTTTGAAATTAATAGCACCTAAAACATGAGCACGCCACGTCCCAAAAGGGTCAAATATGAGGCGTTTCCTTACAAGCTGTACTTCAAGAATATGTAAGCAACAGTACAAAAAATATGTATATGTAATATGTACAATGTATAACGTCAAGTAAAATAACAGCTTATTGTTAAAGTTTCATGCCATTAGAAATAAACAAATATTCTTAAAGGATGTCTTTAAAACAGCCCTGTCTCCTAGAACTAGGATTTATATACAACTAATTTGCAACAGCAAGATATAGTACCAAATTAGGTTTTCTAATAACATAATGAGGAAATGTTAATTATCATACCTGGCAAAATAAAATAAAAACGTTGAACTTATCAGTGAAGTGTTCACTGACAATGTATTTCATTGATTTCTGCTAAAATAGGCAACCTAGGAAAACTGTCCATTTGACTAAAATCATAATCTTTCCCTTACCTCAGCTAAGTCTGGACATGAACCCCAGAACTGTGGTGTGATAGTCCTGCACTTTGTACGTCCACAGTCCACCCCAACCACGTGCTTTATGACTCCACCTTGCCACATAAATGTGGTGTTTCAAATTTTTTTTATCTCTGAACATAATACAGGCAGGTATTGGTTGTTACCACAATGTAATTCTTAAAACAATTTCCGAATGTAGAAACATAATTCATAGGAGACAGGATTGCTTCAAAAACACCAGACCAAGCATCAAATGTTAGTGATTATTTTCCTACATATGGTTGTGTGGTAGTATTAGCACCCTTTGGTTTTCATTGAAAGGCTTGGTTATTGTGTTTCCACAAAACAAACTGGAGGATCATTCCGCAGCAAGCCACATTTTACTGCAATTCTTTTTAACTGTAAAAAGTAAAAATGTGCAGTCTGATCCTCGTTCTGCAGTGACACTGGATGATCATCTTTTCAAACCTTTCCTTTCCTTTCCTTTCCTACATTTACTAATTAACATTCTTGGAAGAACTGCAGTTGTTGGCACAAAAGGAAGTGCATGTTTTTGCTGTAGTCAAATACAGCTCAGTTGAACTGTAGAATTAACCAAACCTTTATACCAACAGGCCAAACCCTGGTGTCATATAAATTGCCATTACACTCCTTTTAAAAAGGTGTTTTTAGACATCTTACTTTTCAACACAGCAGCTGTCAGAGAAAAATACTTTGTTTTCAATTCACATTTCACCATAAATGTAAACGCCCTCAGCTGAGTGTGTGATCATTGTGGCGATCAGCTTAACTTCCTCTAATGGCCATGAGCAAAACTTACACCAATCAGCCATAACATTATGAGCATTGACAGGTGAAGTGAATAACACTCATTATCTGGTTATCATGGCTCTTGTCAGTGGGTGGATTATATTAGGCAGCAAGTGTTTGTCCTCCACTTGATGTGTTAGAAGCAGGAAAAATGGGCAGTGTGAGGATTTGAGCGACTTTGACAAGAACCAAATTGTGATGGTTAGACGACAGACGTCCTTAGTTCAAATTCAGCCAAAGACCAGTTCATCTTCTTCTTAAATCTAAGACATCATGCTGTCTGTGTGTTAAAAAAAGTAACATCTGCACACAGCTGTGTTGAAACCTATTTTTTGCAGACTGCGTCATACAGCCATCTTTACCAACAATAAGTTCAACAGGATCATCAACAACATCAGCTGAAGGCTGTAGCCGGTCAGTGGTGCCATACTCTCCCCTCCCTCCCACCGTTCACCCTGCTCGTCTTCCCACTCCGTTCTCCGCCTCTCCTGCTCATCATCCTCCTCCTCCCTCCACGGCCTGTCATCCTCCCTTACTATGTTGATGCTGTCGCAGCGCTCGCCCTCATGGCCTTCGTAACAGTGGCAGCGAAACCTCTCAGTCAGCAGCTGCAGCTCATGCTGTGAGTGCCACCCAGTAACGACAAAGTTCCCATCAACAGAAAGCCGGATGCGGTAGCTTTTGGCACTCAGGTGGAGGTAATGGTGGGCGAGGGGGTCTCTACGGACACAGCGGCCATTCCCCTGGCACAGGAAGTCGCTACAGACTTCAGCAGCTCGCGTCACATTCGTGATGTACTGGCCCAGGCGGTGTCTCAGGAAGGATTTCACCTTGGTGCAGTTGTGCTGTGGAAACAAAACAACACATCTACATTTTCAAGCAATGTCTCACAAGGTATAATGTAGATAGGATTTTTTTTTATTGCAAAATGAGAAACCAGTAATATATGTATATGTATGGTATGTATATACCACCATCCATTGGGTTCTTGTGTGTTCTTTCATTTTGTAGAGACATTTCTTTATCGAGGGTCACTCTACGTAGATATGTTGCATTTTAGTTTGTTTTTCCATGTATCTCCCATAGGCTTCAATAGGTCTACACTAAGCAGGGCATTAGAACATTGTCTTTTATAGTTTCCTTGATTGTCAGATAGATTACAGCCCTTCTTGTTCTTTAGGACCATTAGGAATTCTCAAGCAGACGCTGGTGAGATTTTCTTAATTTCACATTCAGAATCACAACCTGAACACTACAGTCAAACAGAGACAGAATTTAACTTAGAGAAAGTGAGTCGGCCTAACTACCACAACATGAAAAATATTGAAGTTATTCACCCTCTAACAATTGTCCTCCACAGAGAACCCCCAAAAAAAACAAAAATGGAGGTGACACAGGTGAACAGTCTAACAAAATATCTGGAGACTTTTATTGTGAATAACGTAAAGGAAATGAAATGTGTTCATCACCGGAAAGAGCATAGTTGGCGTTTATTCTTCAATAAAAAATTAATCTGTTTGGGTACATACTGCAGGGAGGAAGGTGGGTTTATTTGTGCTTTAGAACATAACCACCGCCAAAAAATCTGAAAATAATGTTTGGATTGACTGCTTTTCATTCAAGTGACCATGGACAAACTAAGTCGAGCCAAGCTATCATGTGTATGGAAAACGGTTATGCCTTGGCTGGTCAATTGCTTCCAAGGCTGGCTACTAGCACACCGAGCCAAATAAGGCATATTACCACCACCAACTGTAAACTAATTTGATTTGATTTGTTGCAGATTGCAACTCTCTCTCGCTTTACCCTCCCTTTCCAAGCATGAAAGAGAAGCTACGGTGGCCTCCAAACAACTAACAAACACCTCTATCTATCTTTCTAGCCAGTGTTTGTCCGTTTTGGTTTACCATAGAAACTCCATGGAAGGCGACCCATGGAGTCTATAGATATAAAATGCTCATTTTAAGATAATAAAAACATTCAGGTGATTATGCACTAATAAAAACATAGTTTTATTATTATGTTAAATGTCTGCCAATAGACTCTCCTATATGTTACACACTGGACCTTTTAAGAGTTAAGGTGGGCAAAGCAGAGGGAAACAGATGCACACAAAACATTTTTTGAAAAGCAACTGCAAATTCACTCAAGGCCACTCCCTGAAATTCTGGTGACTGTCAGATGCTGTTTGGATGTAGACGGGATCACTACAGGCCATAAAAACATGCATTATAGTTTTCAAAATGACAGCGACACACAGCGACCACATGATGTCAACTTTCTATTGTCTGACTATATTTACAGCTGTGGTTTGTTCGGAGTCCAAAACAAATCGAGAAGCTTGAGGAAAGAGTGTTTTTCACATGAAAGTACACAGTCAGACTGTTTCAACAACACAAATTAGAACAAAAAGCCTATGACCTGTATTTAAATATTCTTTGTGTATCAGTGAATCATTAGCTGATAGACAAAGTCAGAGGATCCTTTCCCTCTGTGAGCCAACAGGTCGGTTTTACAGAAACAGTCTGTAAAGATTTAAGGGTCTTTTTCGCAAAGCCAAAAGGACACCCACCCTGGACGAGGTCAGGTTCAGGTCTCCCCAAATGACAAATCCTGCAGCTCCCAGTGCAGCACTCTCCCCGATGGTGTGGATCAAGTCTTTCTGTAGGAAACACACAGGTACAGAAGTCACATCACAGGTCTGTCTCTGTCACTGACCCACATATAAATATAAAAATTATTTTAATTAACCAAAAAGCATTTGAGTTAAATGATCAAACAAAACAAAAATGCCCCGATTTTGAGAATGGATCTCTTCTATCACATGGCATAACTGACAATCATATATTTTATTCAATTAAAAAGTAATTCATTCATTAAGACATAACTATTTATCATTTGTGCAAAAACTCTTCAAATCCATGACTTCCTCTGCACACCACACAACTATTATGTAGTTTTCCTAAAAACAAGTAGTGCTACTTTTATATACATTATTATATACTTTGTTCTATTTTATTTACTGTTTTGTTAATTTAATTTAAAATATGTGTTAATACATTTTCTGTGTGTGTAGCATGGAGAGAGCTTTAACTGCATTTCATTATGCAATCCTGTATTGTATAAGGATTATAAAGCTGAAGCTTAGGCAAATAGATGCAGTTAATGTGACAAGAGAGAATAATTATGTTGACCAAAGAGCCACAAAATGGCGCTTCTGATTCTGTTCGAGATCAAGTGAAGAAGAACTGAAGTATTTCTCAGGCTAAAAACACACAGATATTTCAAAGGTTATTTCTAAAACTCCTCAATGAATCTGTAGGCATGTAGACAGGGCCGGCTCTAGGCATAGGCGATATAGGCGGTCGCCTAAAGCGCCATCTGCTGGAGGGGCGCCGCCAGTCACCCCCGAGGGAGAAAAAAAACAACAAAAAAAACAATAATAATTTTCGATGCCCACTGGCGCCTGTTATTTGTCTACATGATATAGACATGATGTAGACAAATAACTGTATTAGGTAGAGCAAGGAAACCACAACACTGGTGACTCTGAGCTGCTGTTCTATGGATGTCCACTAGATGGAAGAAGTCAATAAATGCAGACCTTCAGTCAGTGCAAACAGCCGGTGTTGTGAAAAACGGGACATCTTTATGTCAGAGATTCCTATTATATATTGTAGTGTCTTTGATAAACATCTGTGTATAAGTTCCATTAGTTTGATACTATGGCTTATGCAGCAGTAACAGTGGTGGAAAGTAACTATAAAATATAAAATATTATTGTATTATTATTTTACTACAGTCAAGTATTTCTTTTGCAGTCAGAAAAAAGTAAATCAGTGTATTTTTGTATTATTTCACAAATGTTTTATTATTTTTCTTCCATGTTATCTTTCTGAGGATAAATTATTTACAACTATTTGACTACATCGGTCCCTGTCTTTACTGTACTGTTTGAAATGAATAAGTCATAATAAAAGTGATAAATTACTATTAATTACAATTTAACCCAGGTGACATAAGGTTGTCCATCTTGACGTTTCTTTTATTGTGCAGGTTGTCACAGAAAAAACTTGGTGTGGGTCAGTGAATAGCTGCAATTTAACCATGTAAATGTCAAACGAATGTGGGAAAAGAGTTGAATGTTTCCACCTTACGTCAGTTATATATATAGTAAAGATTTTAAGGTGCTGATAATATTGAACCATAATGTTATCTGCTTTTTTGTGACAATGTTCTTGTCAGTGTCCAAAACAACTCATATAACCTTTATACATATGTAAAGTATACGCTTTTTATGATCTGTCACCTGGTTTGGGCACCTAAAGCTACTTGGTTAAGGTTAGGGAAAGATTGTGGTTGTCATTCAGGCTTCCACATTTAACATAATGTAACTATAACAAGCTACAGGACTGTCCAATAACTGTCCAACCAGATAAACGTTGTTCTTACTGCCGTGAGGAAGGTCAGTGCCTCGTCTCTGTAGCCCAGCCTCAGGTACACATAGGTGGGGAGGTCATACTCTTTGGAGGTCAGGGAGGCAACCCGTAGTGACTCTCGGATTCTGTGCTGGGAGAAGTGCAGGTTGCTGATGCTGTTGGTGTGACTTTTCCTGATTGCCACAGAGGGGAAGAGTGCTGTGCTGCTGTTCCACAGCCACACCAGCTCTTCGTTCCTCAGCCTCTCGAGCAGAGGGCAGAAGCCTGTGTAGTTCTGCTCATGCAGGTTGTAGTTGTGGCAGTCAGGGTAGAGGTAGAAACCCCAGAGAGCATTGGGGCGAAGGCGTATCCCCAGCTGGATAGTCCTCTGCATGAATGCCTTGGCACTCTTCTCAAACCTCCGCCGTGCCAGCTCCTCCACCTGTGCCTCTGTCACATTGATATACGCCTTGGCGGTCAGCTCCTTCGACTTGCGGCGGTAGATGTCTTTTTTGTGCCAGTTACGGTTCCACTGAGGCCGCCAGAACTCCCAGTCAATGACAGCCAGGCCACGGAAGTCCTCTGCAGGGATGAAGTGGTTGATGTCCTGATAGGCCTTGAACAGATGCAGGTCCAGGCTGCAGTTCTGAGGCAGGCCGCCGTGCACAGGAACGCCCTGCGGCGTGTAGTGGGGGTAGTAGCCCAGCCGGTTGGCATAGAAGATGGTGACATTCTGGCCCGTCCAATCAGCACGCGGGCTCCCGTGGATGTGGAAGAGGTGGTCGATGTTGGTGGTAACATTGTACTTAATGATGCACATGTCCAGCGGGGCATTCCAGGCTGCGATGAAGGGCTTCCGGCCAATCAAGGGCAGCTTGGCGGGTTTCTGACCAAAGGCGGCATGGAAGAGCAGGAGCAGCCAGGAGCAGGTGAGGGCAACAGGTACAACGTGGTGGGAGGAGGATGTCCCGCCCACTGGCACTACAGGCATCCTGGGGTTCAGAAGGAGCAGCTGTCAATCATCCTGAAAAGGGAGAGAGGAAAGAGAAAAAAACTGAAATATTGATTATTCGTCCAATTTTTTCTAGCACGGCCATTTTTAATCTTCAAGATTCACATGATCGCAGGTGTGTTGCACAATTTTGCATTAAAGAGGGGTGCCCAGGTAACTCACTGGGTAGAGCGCGTATCAGGTTTAATCCGGCCCAAGGCCCTTTGCTGCATGTCATCCCCTCTCTCCCCTGCCTTTTCTGTCTCTCCACTTTCCTGTCAAATAAAGCAAAACCCCCAAAAATACTTTAAATAGAATTTGCATGAAAGGATAGGTGTTGGATTAGGGTTTAGTTTGGCATACTGAATAAGTCTTTTGAAGAGGAAGCCCCAAGTGAATCACATTCAAATGGTGACATTTGGGGAGGCCCAGCAATGCATTAAACAGCATTTCCATTTGTACACCTTTTTAGCAAATTCCTTAAATTTAATCAAAAGAAAGTTAAGATGTGACAAGATGAATAGGAGTAATGGTGATACATTAGGTCATGAAGTAGACATGAGTGTGAGTGTTCATCTGTGTAAGAGGAATCAGGTAGAACAACATCAAGGAAAAAATCTATTTTTGTCAGCCACCATCCCATCTTCTCTATTTACAAACAACATATTTACAATATATACCGACAGGACAGATTACTGTGAGACATAATGTGACTATAAAGAGCATGGTCTTCCACAGTAGTTGTTTGGGAATGTTAGACAGTGCCTCTCTAGCGCCACCATCAGAAGAAAATGTTATCCTTACACACAAGATATCAGTGGATAGAATTTCATAAAACTCTCAGAATATTTCATGCAATCTGTTTATTATTGTGTAATGAACATTGCCGCGTAAGTCAGTAGTAAGGCTTAAGACTCTTTTTAAAGAATATTCCAAAACTAGAATTCAATAAACAAGTAAATATTGAGCAATCTCCTGGGATGTTGGATGTATACCAAGTGGCTGACGCTGGGTCCCGACCCCACTGTTAAGACACTCTGGCGTCATGTCTCCAGCGGAGATGCTGACAGACTGACCAGAAAAAGCAACAGAGACACAAAACCTAATTAACAGTGTAAAATGTGTGTCAGCCCATCTGCGGAACTCTCTTCAACTTCATCTGACCTTCTGACTGTTTTTATATTGTTCTCATTCAATGAGTTTATGGAAGTTACAGCTGGATGAGCTCAACAGTTACTCTGAATTTACTCCAAACTGGTCATCTGCAGCGTCGGTCATATAAATAAATGTCTGCTTAACTATTCTCTCTGTTTGTGAGTGTTTAAATGTTTGAGTTACAGCACAATAGCAGATCATGAAAGCTTTAACATTCGCTTGTTCATGTGATTTTATGAGCCAATACTTTTTCCATGTTTAAGGCTGAAAACATCTGGGACGTATTCGTATTGTAAAGCCTCATTTACTTTCCAGCTCTTGAAACTTAATTTAAAAATCCTTGGAGAAGGCGCCCATATGGCTCACTTGGCAGAGCTGGCGCCCCATGTACCAAGGCTGAGTTCTTACTGCAGCATCCCAGGGCTCGACTCTGACCTGTGGCCCTTTGCTGTGTGTCATCCCCTCTAGTTCTTCCCCTTTCCTGTTGCTCTATAGCTGTCACTATCAATCGAAGGCAATAAAAGGTCAAAAAAAAAAATCCCAATACTTTTCAGAGAATTCAGAGATACAATAGCCTATGATGTACTGTTTTTAAACCACCACCACCAGGACAAATCTTTCGCTTTTACACAGAAAAATATTAAAAATACTGATCAGTGTGCCATTCAATTTCACATCCCTGCTCCCCAATTAATGAACCTTTTACATTTAAATGACCCAATGATCTTTCCACTTGTGTCACCCTCAGGAAAACTCATAACTCTCAAACTCACATTCATAGTAGTTCGTACTTTCAGACCTCTAAATCACTGCACACATACATAGCGTCTTTAATAGGTCTGGTGTTGTGCTCATTGACAGCTGTGTTTCCTGGTTGTATAAAATGTCAACGAATCAGGGATATAGAGGCATTTTATTTTCATCTACTGACTGTTGCTGTCCTCTGAGACAATTAGTTCTTATTTCCTCATTTCCATGGCACCCAAAAGGTCAGAGGTCACAGAGTGGAAGTCAGTTGACACCTAGGTATTCGAAGGAGGACTTTAGCTGGATAGACCACGGCTGCTTTCCTATCCACATCTAGTCATCTTCTGACCAGAGCTGAAGCCTCAGGCCATAATGACAGGCTTCCCTTCCAAACGTCTCAGTATTTGCTGTGTCTCTGCGTCCAATGTACAGCCGAGTGATCCAAACATTCAGTCAAAGAGCAAAGAAGGACCAATCAGATGTCTGAATTTTGGACTTAAGTCATTTCAGTCTAGGTTCTTTCTGTGTCATTCAGTACAATTCAAAGGTTAATTTAATATCTTACCAGCAATGTGAACACATTTTGACCTGATTGGTTGAAATTCATAAAGGTTTTTCACTTCTTTAAATATAATTTATCTAAAAGTAACTTTGAAAGAATAAGAATACTTAAGTAAAAGTACAAAATATTCTTCTCAAAAACGACTCAGTGTATTAGTTACTTATTGTTGATGTTTAATGCATTATCAATAGCAGGTACTCAATCAAAAGGGGAGATTCGTGTAGAAAATGCTTACAGCAAAGCACATTTCTCTGATAAATGATGAAAAGGTTTAAATACAGATATGATAAAGCAGGAATCTTGTTTTTTAAAAGCATACTAAAACTGTTTTGTAATTTGTAGTGTAATTGATATAAATCGCAATGCACTGCAAACAGACAGTCAGGCGAGGGTCTACTCTTTCTCCATTTGGTTTCTCTTTTTTCCATATTTCAGTCCTTGAATTACTCCCAACTTCTGCACTGTTCTGGTCAGTTACCTCTCCAAACCTGTATTGGCTGCAGAGTTGTTGTTTTTTGCTTGGAAAAGGTAGAACAGACGCAAAACTAATCACTGCACATTGTGAGCCGGCCAAGGAACTCTGCGCTGCAGTGCACTCGGTCTGAACAGCCCAGTGGGTAACATGGGCAGCTTGCAGCACTTTGGGGCACTTCTGCCGCCTGTGTGTCCTTGGCGATTGTCTACAAGTTTGGATATAATTCAAATTGTTGGCCAATCGGTAGCACATTAGGATTTTAAAAGCAGCAAAGTAGATTACATAGAGTAATGCATACTTAAAGGTCTAAGTGTATAACATTGAGGTGGATCTATATTGTATTTTACACTTCCTTTGCTGAACATACGACCTCATCAGTTTAATTCAATACGTCAGTATTGTATAATCTGTAGGTCATAATGACAGCAGTACAGATGAAAATCCTCTTTTTCAAAAAGATATAATTTCATGTTCACTTAAACACAATATTTAGTACTAATATTCTTTAGAAATCCTATAAAGCATTTTAATTTTGTTCTTATAACTTTATGGGAGTTTTTTGTTTACTATCTGAGTTATCAGTTTTAAATCGAAGTCTTTTCCTTTCTTTGTGTTACTGCCAGTTTTTCCTTTGGAAATATTTTGACTGCTTCACTTAGCCAAAACAGATAATTTTTCAAAGCCAACTGCAACATTACAGTAAATATATGGATGTACCGCTGGATAATGGTTCTCAGTTTTAGTAGAAATTACTTCCATCTGAATCCTGGCAGAGAGCAGAGCAGACATGTTTTGATGATAGACAAAAATTTGATTTTTCTCTTTGTAGGTTTTCTGTTCAAACTTGAAATCTCTGAGCCCTACTCAAAGCTGATCCTGGTTAAGCAACATCAAGGTGTGACAGATCTCTATCCTGCTACACTGGCTCTGTGTAGAACATCATGGATCACTGTTTACAGATGGGTATCTTAATATGTAACACTGGTTGCTTTTCAGTCACCATCTCACAAATGTTAGTTCACAGAACATGCTTCAGGTTTGATAAATACATACCCATTTAAAGTTTTACATTCAGAGTTGTATGTGTTGAATTTAAATGGAAGATGTTCAGCATGAGGAGGATGACAGAAAAATGTCTGTCTACAACTGTCCTTCTGAAGAAGACTTTCATAACCACAAGCAGGGCTGCCACTAGCGATTATTTGTATTATTGCTTATTTTCTGATCATTTTCTTTATTAATAAATTAATAGTTTTATCTGTAAAATGTCAGAAAATATAGAAAATTACCCATGATAACTTTCCACTGCCTAAAGCCATGTCTACAAATTGCTCGATTTATTTGACCAAAAGTCCATTGTGGACTGAAACAGTTAAATAATTGCAGATGAATTTCCTGTTTAATTGATTAATCATTTCAGAGGTTGCTTGTCAGGAAAATGTATCGAAGTGCTTGAACAAACAACCAATGCCATGGGAGTTTCAGGTGAGGAAAGTCTGCTGGTGGGGATTTAAAACAAGTCTCAAACTGTAGATGCTCTGGTCAGAGGAGCGTGAGTCCATTTGGTTATCATAGGCACCAACAAAACCTACCATATGACCACAGTCTGGCCTCACCTGGAAGGCTGAACTGGATCAAGCTTTTATGTGCTCTAGTTGATTGTTCTTATCAAAATTAAAGACGGTTGGGAGCAAGTTTAGATTGAACGCATTGGAGTTCATGTTTAAAGTTTGGCTTTGCGTCAAAGGGAATTATTTATCCAGAGGAGCTTGGAGCCGCGGGCTGGTCTGGCATCGATTAAGATAAGAGTTTGTTGATGTCTGTGGTCCTAGTGGAATGGCTCCACTCATTCAACAAAAACAAAAAGAGAGAGACTGTCTAATTTTCAGTGTCTCTGTTGGAAAATTGGGGTGAATTTGAGCCATAGTTGCCAGTGTCTGAAGTTTAGATGGTTTTTCGGCCTCTCTGCAGGGTCCCTGAACCAAATGACAAAGGGCTACGGTAGACTACAAGGCAAGAATGTTGGCACGCCAGCATGCAGTTCTGTAACTCTGCACAGCTGATAACAGATCAGTTCATGATCTCTTATCTGTGTGTTCACGTGAGGACTGAAGGAAAGCCAGATTTGGTCTTTGGTGTAGGGCTCAGTGTGCTGCCGTACAACCTCAACAACTTCAGCAACCTCAGGAGTTAATTTCACACCAGTTACTCCTAGAAGTGAATTTCATACCCAAAGAAAGCATATTGAACTGAATGAAGCTGACAGTTTGATGGAGGCATTTCTAAGAAGATGGAAAGAGGAGAACACTGAGCACATTCATAGATGCCAGGAGAGGGAGAAGCATGTCCTTGGTTTGATGTTTGGGAATCAAGCCGAACCCCTGATGGAGGGCCGAGGGGTGGGAGCCAGATTAACAGATTCCCTCACATGCGCCATCTGTCATGTAAATATGTTCCAACGCTGACCTGAAGTCACCAAGTCATATTACTAGCCTGATTCTGACTGACTTTCATGCTGCTGTCTAATAATTTAACATAACTGTAGACCTGTATTTACAAATCCTAAATACCTGCATGTTCTTCAAGTCTCTGCAAGTTGAAGTTCCTGGAAGAAGGGAAAACTAAAAGTAGTTTTACTTGCTTGTCCTTCATCCTCCACCGCACAATCACTATTTTTATAAAGTAATACTGTTTCCTTGGACAGACTGCAGTCCTGTTAGCATCCCCTAGAGCTTGCAGTGTTCATTACAGTCTTAATATGAGTGCTGGGCA